GAGTTTCAATTAAATCCGATTAATTTTTGAATTTATTGTCCGCCATATTGGATCCGCCATTTTGAATTTTTAAAATCTGACTTCAGATTCGTAATCAGCGACCTCGAAAACCCCCGAGTAATATGTTTCAAGCAAATCTAGTAAATTCTGTATGAAATACTGCTTTTCATCCCTTAAATTGAAAAAGGGTGTTTTCTACCCTTAAAACTCAAAACGGGCCGATATAAAAAAATACGTGTTCAATATTTTTATATGTTTTAGAAGTGTCCTAAGTTTCATCAAAATCGGTGATTAACAGTTGGGTAGTGTTACTTGTTAGAAAATTTGTCTATTACTGTTAGTAAGTACTTAAAACCTTTATTTACTTTAGAATAAGGTAACATTTCTACTAAATCAGCTTGCCAGGTCTCATCGATATCACGCATTTCAACGCGGCGACGATGATAATTCTTTCTCGCTTGTGTGTGAATTTCTTTCACTACTGTCAACTTTTTGTCATTCATTTTCAAGAGCTCTCAAACGACTGTCCAGTTCACCAATAATTTCAGCGTTTTTATATGATAAATCTTGATTTATTTATCTATCAAGATTGTATAATTTTTCTGATACTGAGCCTTCCAAAGTTTTTAATAGCACATTTCCGTTGTCAGTATCCAATAAATTTTTCTTTGTTTGTTTCTCAAGAGCTTTCGTTTCATTTTATAGAACTCTCATACGAGTATCTAGATCACCAATGATTTCATCGTTTGGATAAGATAAATCTTGATTTATTTGTCTTTAAAGATTGTTTAATTTTTTTGATACTGAACCTTCAAGAGTTTTTAACAACACATTACTATTATCAGTATCAAATAAATTTTTCTTTGTTTGTTTTTCAAGAGTTTTCGTTTCGTTTTCAAGAGCTCTCATACGAGTATCTAGTTCACCAATAATTTCAGCGTATCTATATGATAAATCTTGATTTATTTGTCTTTCAAGATTGTTTAATTTTTCTGATAACGAGCCTTCAAGAATTTTTAACAACACATTACTATTATCAGTATCCAATAAATTTTTCTCTGTTTTCATTTCATTGTCATGAACTCTCAAACGAGCATTGATTTCACCAATAATTTCTACGTTTTTATATGATAAATCTTAATTAAAAGACAAATGTCTTTCAAGATTTTTTAATTTTTCTCCTATAGAGTCTTCATGAGTTTTTAATAACACATTACTGTTATCAATGTCTAGAAAATTTTGATTTATTTGTTTCTCTAGATTTTGAAGTTTTTCTGTTACAGAAGCTTAAAGAATTATTAACAACATGTTACTGTTGTCAATATCTAATCGTAGTGAAGACGTAACTTGATATACTAGTCGCACTTCGTTCTTTATCATACGTTGAGTAAGTAATAAATTAACTGCATCAGCCTCTGCTTTAGCTTTTGCAAGGTTACAAATTCTTTTACCTTCACAGTCATAATTATCTTCTGAATCTACTTTAAAACCAACTCCAGGAGGTCCAGGTGGTCCTCGTTTTGCTGCTACAGTTCCTCCTCTATTGAGGGGATGTCCGAACACATCACTGCTCATGATTGAAATGGATAAAATTTGTAGAAACATGTCTTAATATATGATTTTAGCTTCTCGCAATTCTTCAATGATGGACATTATTTCATTATTATGACTAGGATTACCAGCTGATTGAGATGCCATGAGAAGCCGAAGACGGTCAACCAATTCATTCGGGTCATCCCAATAGATATAGTCTGGTTTAAAATTTCTGTTTGTAATCATAAATTTGGGCAGTGAACTACCACTGACATATGGTTCTCTTCTTTGTGGGAAGAGTCCAGATATAAAATTCATAAATTTAAAATTTTTATCTGTACGAATTGTTTCAGAGGAGCTATATTTCTTTTTATGTGCATTGGAAGCAATAAGAATTTATTTATAATTTCTCTTATCTTCTTCACTAATATATGCTTTCTCAGGTTTATTTTTAAATAAAAGTTTTAATAACCCAGTGGTAACATTAAAACGTTTATCTCCAATATTCACCAAGTGATTATCAAAACTTATTGGTTTATCAACAATCATAAAAGATCCATCTCTGAGTTTGCGTACTCCATATACTGTATCCAAACACTGCTTTCTGTTATGATTTATCAAGTACAAATATTTACCAACTACTTTTTCATAGTCAAATCCTGAAATGGTTTCATTCTCATCAGCACTTATATAATCTTCTTCTTCTTCATCTTCTTCTTCCTTTTTTTCAATTTTAAAATTTTCACGTTTAATATTAGTCAAGTTCACAATTTTTTGCAAGGGTTGTACTATAGGTTTGAAAGTTTCATTTAATGCATTTTCAGCATCTTCTTTACCCAATTTCAATATGCGATGCTTCTTTCTAATTGCATCACTAGCTTTAGCAATTTGATGAAGATATTCTTCCTCTTTATGATACATGTTGATATTTCAAGGTTTAAACCAAAACTAATATCATTTTAAGAGATGATCATATATTTATAGTGTTACAAAACTGTCAAATCCTTTTCTATATCTTCCCTTATTTAAATCGGAGTCTTTATCAATAACAACAAAACCATACTTGTCTGAATTCCAACATTTTGAACATAGCTCTCGAAACTGATTAAATGTCATATCAGTATTAATATGATCATCATATACATGTAGCAAATTTTTTTCATCTTGACAAAAGAGAACTAATAAATTAATATTATCTCGCACTAGATGTTTAGGAATTCTTGCATATGTCTGACAAAGATAGAAACAATCAACATCAACATGCCTACCCATACAAAAGAAAGCCCTTACATTGTCTTGTTTCTCACAGGCAATATCATCAAATATAAATATTGAATTTTTCTTTGCATCTTTAGGAGAAATTACTTCTTCATGATCACTAAATGGCAAGTACTCAACTCCATCAACGTTACTTACAACTTTTTCCAAGAACTTATACTTTGGTTGTTGCAATTATTTTAAGTATAAATAAATGTTTTCAAATGTAAGACCATTGGGATGTAAAATTAGAGAAAGTAATACATTTGTTTTTCCACAATTTGATGGACCACAGAAAATTGCTCGAATGCTTCCTGACAACAAGCTCCCATGACGCTTCAACTTCTTTTCTTGTTTTTGAACAATTGAATCCAGATTCACGACTGGAAGCTTGTGAGGTTGTCCTTTGAATCGCATCCTGATGTAGACTGCCGCATACTCAAAAAATCGAGATAACGTTGAAGCATGAAACATTGCAGATAGAGTACTATCTGATAAAGCGAGGCAAAGGGTTATATCAAAGGATTCTAGTATTGGTGAAAAAGCTGCTGCTTTAGCTATTTCTGGTACAATGAAGGTTAAATCAAAATTAGGTATGGGGGGTAAAAAGAAATCAAGGACAAAAAAACGAGTTAATCTTAGAAAAATTGTTGATGCTGCTAGGAAATCCATTATTCCAGACAATGATCCTAGCTCAACAATCAAGGCAGCTATTGAAACTGCTCGAAAAGCTGTCAAAAGAGTAGGAGGTAGAAAAAAAGTATTAACACCTCGCATTCTTCCAGTACCAACAAAAGTTGGTGGTCTATTACCATTAATTCCAATTTTTGCTGGACTCAGCGCTCTTGGAGCACTTACTGGAGGAGCTGCAGGAGTTGCAAAAGCCGTCAATGATGCAAGTGCAGCCAAAGAAAGATTAAAATAAGCTCAACGTCATAATAGAGCAATGGATGAAATTAAACTTGCAAAAGGTCTTCACTTGAAACCATATAAACAGGGCTTGGGCTTGCACTTAAACCCTTTGTTAAAAGGATCAGGTCTACATTTAAAACCTTATCAAAAGGGTGAAGGAATAAAAAAAGGTCTTAAATCTTCCTGAACGACCACTAAATAATTTTGATATAATCAAGTATGCTAAAGCAATGAATATTCCTCATTTTCGAGGAGTTTTTATGCGAAATGAGTTACCTATAGGAGGCCCTGGAAAAAATTAATCAGCCATTATAAATCTCGATGATATAGATGGTCCAGGTACTCATTGGGTAGCATTTAAGAAAGTTAAAAATAAAGCGGAATATTTTGACAGTTTTGGTAATCTTCAACCACCATTTGAACTTGTCAACTATCTTGGCTATAATACTTTAATACAGTACAATCATCAAAATTATCAAGATTATGATACCTTTAATTGTGGTCATTTATGTCTTAAAGTTTTATGTGGACAACTGGAAATGACTCAGAAATATACTCTATTTAAATGATGGTAAATCTATATATATATTTAGTCTATCAAAAGTCATCATCATGGATGAATCGTTCACTCTAACTATCTCAGGAAATTCGTCTATTCTCGAGGCTGAATATTTTCCTCCTATAGAATTATTACCTCATAAAAATTATGTGCTTGGTTTAGTTGAATTGTTAACGTTTAATTCAATACCAAATATAGATGAAGGTAAAAATAAATTTTATATTGGTAATCATGTAATTACTATACCCCCTGGCAGTTATGAAATAGAAGATATTGAAAAATTTATTCAAAACTCCATTTCTGATGGGTCAAAAATTATAAGTATAAAACCAAATTACAATACTTTACGTAGTGAAATAAAAAGGAGTCTTAATGTAAATTTTACACAAGAGGATTCTATTGGTGAATTATTGGGTTTCACTCCACGAGCTCTAACTGCCAATAATACTCATACATCTGATATGCCAGTAGCAATTCTAAAGGTAAATGCTATCAGAATTGAATGCAGCATTACCACTGGGGCATACATTAACAATAAAAAGGTACATACAATTCATAAATTCTTTCCAGTTGTTCCTGCTGGATATAAGATCGTGGAAGTACCATCTCACATCATTTATCTTCCGATCGCCGTAAAGATAATACATAATATTCAACTACGTATTGTTGATCAAGACGGAGATTTGATAAATTTTCGAGGTGAAACTATAACAATTCGATTACATATCAAGTCAACATAATGGGTATTGTATACCATAGAAAAACTGGTGGAAGCTATATAAGTGAATCACCATGTCAAAAGACATTCAGTCTTCAACCAAATCACAAGAGGTTAAAACCTCAAAACATACAGTTCCTGAAAAAGCTCGGTCTAAGAGTTTATCAAGAAAAAAAAGTAAAAAACAAAAAATTATAGTTTATATATATTTTTTTTGTTGTAGCTACAAAAATGGAAGAGATTTTAAACATTCAAACTCCTGTCAAATATGACAATTCTCTAGCACATTATGAGATTCATGCACATCAGCCATACGTTTCATCAGCATTTAATAACAGTGATCAGATTCGTATTGCAGTTCAACATCAAGATTTATACATTCTTCCCTCTAAAAGTACCTTACACGTACAGGGAAGATTAACAAAAACTGACAATACTGATGTGACTAATACAAAGCTATTTAGTAATGGCATTTGTTACCTGTTTAGTGATATTCGATATGAACTTAATGGAGTAGAGATTGATCGTTGTAAAAATGTTGGTCTAACAACAACTATGAAGTCTTTAATTTCTCAAACACCTAATCAAATGATTTATGCTGAGAATGCTGGTTATATTGACTCTGATGATGCTAGTAGAGTAACTAATGATCATGGATATTTTGATGTAAATGTACCACTAAATATGATTCTTGGATATGCTGAAGACTATCGAAAGATTGTTGTAAATGCAAATAATAAACTTATTTTAACAAGATCTCGTACAGATCTTAATGCTATAGTTAATATTCAAGGATTAGAACGAGAAGAATTCAAAATTGTAATAAATAAAGTTGAATGGATGATTCCATACCTATTTGTTGGTGATCGACAGAAAATTGAATTGTTAAAATTCACTGAAAAAGATTCACCAATAACAATGAGTTTTAGATCATGGGATTTGTATGAATATCCTATGATTCCTGCTACTCAAAAACATGTATGGACTGTAAAAACATCAACACAAATTGAAAAACCTCGATATGTTATCCTTGGTCTTCAAACAAATCGAAAAGAAAATCGAGCAAGATATTCAAACTTTTTTAATACTTGTAATTTAAATAATGTTAAACTTTTCTTAAATTCACAATACTATCCTTATGGTAATTTGAATTTAAATTTTAATCAGGGTCAGTATTCTGTTCTCTATGAGATGTATTGTAATTTTCAACATTCATACTATGGAAAAGATCCTGAACCTTTGTTAGCAAAACATACCTTTCAAGAGTATGCACCATTGGCTGTTATCGATTGTTCAAAAACAAAATGAATTTCTAAAACAAGCATCTGTAGATGTTCGACTGGAATTTGAAGCAAGTGATAACTTTCCCGCCAATACAGCTGCCTACTGCTTAATTATTCATGACCGTATCATTCAGTACACACCAATTAGCGGTATTGTTAAAAAAGTATCATGAATGGTGGGGGTAAATGAGAGAGGTGGGGATAAGATTATAAAAAGAGCAGCTGTTGGCGGTTTGAGTCATTTCTCTATTACAGATACCATGGCGTACGTCGTAGATATCCAATGCTTTAAGAGAGCCTACAATGAGTTTGTTGTGAAGGAGCTACCTCTTCAAGAAGATGCTCATCCATTGGTCTTCCTATTCGAGCCACCATATGCCCGGAGCAAAATACCTTCAAGGTACAAGTGTGAGAACCGATGGCTTACGAATAATTATCATGGTATTTATTGGACTGATGGTGACATACCTTATGAAGATTTACCATCACTACTAAAAGAAATATTAATCGGTACACCTATAGTTTATGTTAAAGGATTAGAAAAACAAAGATGTTTAGAAAAATATACACTGAATGTAATAAATTTAGATGATTTACAATGTCCATCGTTGAAAAAACTGGTTTTAGATCAGTTTACTGCTACTATTACATGTACAAATCATAAACATAATTATAGTATTTGTGCTGTACAAAATGTATATAATCTTCGTGAATGGTACAACCATCCAATGTACTACGACTACATATTCCACAGGGTACTAATGAAGTAGACAATTCTACATTAAAAGATTATTATAATGATTGTGAACATTTTTTGCATGGTTAATAAATGTACTTAATAATAATAAAAAATCGTTTATTTATTTTCCTTCATTGCATAATAATGACGTCACTATACAACAACGTAATAGGTTAAGTGGAGGTACTGCGCATGCGTTAAAATAAGAGTGGGGAACAAATAAAGATGGATTTAGCTAATTTACTCATTATTCTTTAGTGAGTCCTAATGATAACAATGTCAAAATCAAGTCAAGACAAGCCAGTGCCAGCACCCAGGCAACCAAAGCCAGTACCAACACCAAGGAAAGGGTAAATTTCGCATGCGTTAGAGTAGGAGTGGGGGAAAGTTTAATGCGCAAGCGTAGAATATGAGTGGGGGTAAATGGTGGGGATATTGAGTATAAATGTAGGGAGTTTTAACTAATTTACTCATTATTCTACTGTGTGCTGATACAATACAGTCTCTAAAAAATGGATCTAACCAAAATCAACGCAGTTGGTCGACTAGAGGGTTTCCTGCCTACGAAGCCGCTCTCCGAGCTGACTCCTGGACACAAGTATCCGATAACAAAGATCCAGGTTGTCAACACCAAATATGGAGGCAAGGTAGTCATTGAGATAGAACAAAAATATAACAGCTACCTACCATCCAGATTTGTAACACTGTTCAATAGCGATCCAACATTATTCACTGCAATCCAAGAAGCTACTACTTCCAGCCAATTACGTATGAAATACATTGGCGGTCCATACAACCATGTAGAATTTAAGATTAAATAAATGTAATTGTTGTATAGCTGATGATGATAAATAAATGTATAAAAATTATATCCAAATGTTTATTTAATTTAGATTAAGTTTAATTTTAAGGTTATGTTTCAATTAGTTGGTAAATCTGCATTATCGACTTTGACAAATCTGCATTACCGACACTTGGTAAATCTGCATTACCGACACTTAGTAAATCTACATTACCGACAGTTGGAAAACCTGTCCTAGAACTCTCATAGCTCTACTACTCTAGGGGTTTTAAAGTCGCTGAGTATGAATCTGAAGTCAACTTTTAAAATTCAGAATGGCAGATTCAATATGGCGTTTCAAATTTATAAAAGTTCGTCGAATTTACTTGAAACTTGTTACTTGAAGGTTTTTGGGGTTGCTGATTACAAATTTGATGTCGGGTTTTCAAAATTTAAAATGGCGTATCTAATATGGTGGTCGAAATTTATAAATGTTATTAATTTTTTATAAAACTTCGTATCTCTGGGTTTTTGGGGTCGCTGAGAACGCATCTGAAGGTAGATTTTTAAAATTTTAAATATATCTAATAATGTAGAAGATTAGAAAACAATATATTAAAAATAAAAATTTCCACATATGTGTTTTTTGTATATTGGACACTTTTTTAATGACAAAACAGGCTTTGTAGTAAGTAAGAATATAGGTAGGATGAATTTAAAGATGTGAAGTGATTGTTTACAACTGCTGTGCAAAGTAAAAAAGTCTACAATTGTCATTTGTTTTATGTACTATTTTTCGTAACTATGCAACTGAAAACGAACATATAAACAACTGTCATTTGTTTTAACTTTGTTTAATATACAAAAAACACATATGTGGAAATTTTTATTTTTTAAATATTGTTTTCTAATCTTCAACATTATAAGATCTATTTTGAATTTTAAAAATCTACCTTCAGATGCGTACTCAGCGACCACAAAAACCCAGAGATACGAAGTTTTATAAATAATTAATAACATTTATAAATTTCGACCACCATATTGGATCCGGCATTTTGAATTTTGAAAACCCGACATCCAATTTGTAATTAGCAACTCCAAAAACCTTCAAGTAACAAGTTTCAAGTGAATTCGACGAACTTTTATAAATATGAAACGCCATATTGAATCTGCCATTTTGAATTTTGAAAATCTGACTTCAGATTCGTACTCAGCGACCTTAAAAACCCCTAGATACCAAGTTTTATAAAAAATAATTATTATTTATAAATTTCGACCGCCATTTTGAATTTTGAAAATCTGACATCAGATTCGTAGTCAGCGACCCGGAAAACCCCGAGATACCAGGTTTCATAAAAAATTATTAATTTGTACAAGATTTCCTATCACCTTTCATTTAAGGGTTGTTTTTACCCTTAAAAAAATGACCTGATATAGCAAAACGGCCGGACACGGGTATCTTTTTTTTGGTCCTAGTTTCTGAAAATTATTGATTTTTTCGTGTGTGAAAAATCGTGTCGGACGGTGTTTTAAGAGAAAATGAAAAGAAAAATTTTTTTCAAGAAGAATTGAATTTTTAAAAAATATAAAATTTGAATAATTTTTGAATTTTTGGGCGGATTAGTCTGTTCAACGAACTCAGGCTTCATTTTTACATGTTGAAAGCGTGTACCAAATATCAAAGCGATTCGTTAAGATATGTTCAAGTTATCGTGGGGACAAAATGAGTCCACAGACATACATACAGACAAACATTTTTTTAAGACCCATTTTTTCGGCATCAGAAAGTCTCAAATCGTCGAGATTCACTGGAATTAGAGAATGCTCAAAATCGCCCAAATGTAATACCTTCTCATTATGATGAGAATGTAAAAAAGTAAACGATATGATAAGTTTCTAGAATTTCATTTTATCATAATCAGTAAAGTAGTTCACAAATTTTTGACTTAACATAACCATCAATGAATAACAAATTAAAAATGCGAAACTTATTATTACAGTATTTTTTGTTTATAATTATTCTTATTTGTCGTAATATTTATTTCTCTCAACTTACAATGCGCGTCATATTTACTTTTATAAAAAGGCAATAATTATATTTTTTATTTATCAAAAACGTTATTTACTGTTATTTCTTGTAAGTTTAAATATTGAGTGACAAAATATTTAGATTACCAAATTGACAGTCGATATGAAATTTATTCAACTTAATTTCTCTTTAATTAAAAATTTATAAAGTTGAATTAAAAACTGATAAAAGTTCTATTAAATCTAAATGTAAAATGATACAATGTTCTTTAAATAAAAATAACAATTGTAAAAATTTTGATTAAACCTAATAACAATTTAACAGAATTTTATATTTTAAAATTTGGCGTTTGTTATAAATGATTAGTATATAAAAATACATTTATCCTTAATTATATTTGACGAAACTGACGTTTCATAAAAATTTTATTTATTCGAATCTACAAATGTCAAAATTATTACTTATTAAAATTACAAGTTGTCCGAAGGAACTTCCGGAATTTGTTATGGTCGTTGTTTCCCATCTCTGGCCCCATCAGCGTATTGAATAGTTTGTACATAATTTAGAGATGGCAGCACACGATACTGTTATGTTACAAAATTTAATTGTTCAAAAATTAAGAATAAAATTGTAAAGCCTCTATATTAATTATAATTATTGCATGTAATAAAATTGAACAAAATAAAATAATAATAGCAGTTATTTTTTTTAGTTATTGACTTTGGATTGACTATAATGGGAGAGAATAGTCATTTTACCAAAGAATTTTAGAAATAATTGAAGAACTTGACAAAAGTTATTAAAAAATTATTAATTAAAGAAAGAAATTATTTGTTTATTTATTTATTAAACGGGTTAACAAAACCCTTTCGTGCAAGGTACAAAGCACTCAATCTTACTAACTATTGTTATCATCAGTAATATTAACAAATAAAGGAGTGCGTAATTAATAATTTAATTATTAATTAATTAATAATTATTAATAATTTGAAAAATAATAATAATTTAAGTAAAAAATGTTAGATAAGATTTTGAAAAACTTCAAACTCTTGAAAAATGTATATTTCCTTTCTTAAAAGAGACAGTACATGCAAAGCACATGAAAATGTATCGAAATATCTCGATGGTCGAAAAAATCGAATGTAAGAAAAAATGAGTTTTGCTTTCCAGAGCATCTAAATCAATATTCATTTTATAAAAATCACCTTAAATTATTGTTCCACATATATTTTATTGGCCCAAGACAAAATAGCGCGCGCTTTTTTAAAACAATGAAATTTATTAAATTATAATAAAATAATTGTAATAAATTAAATTATTATGAAAATAATATTACCTTGAATAAAAAAGTGTTTTTAGTTTTTTAAAAAAAATTATTCAACAATTATTATTTTTTAGACAAGTTTTACAAATATAATAGATTATTATTTTTCTGTTTGAAACTTTCTCTATAATTACATGCCTTTTTGCATTTTGTTAACAATATTATTAAATATTTAATAAAATAATTGTAATAAATTATGAAACATAAATTGAAAATTAAATTAAATGGACAAAGAATAGAAGCAACAGAGACGGCCGAAGGCCGTCGGAGGCACTAGTTATATTAAAGAAAAGTCGTATC